GAGTTCATGAGTCTTAAAACTTACTTACTGAAGTATCACCTACAAGTAGTTTAAGTTTCTGAATTCATATTTCAAATAATTAGATGCGCTTTTAGAACTTCAAGGCTCTTTAATTAACATAATTACATATAGCATAAATTGCATGCTTAGTTTTCAGTAAATATTTATTTTTTCGAAACCAACATTTGAAAACATTACCTTAAATGCTAAAGCTCAGTTCTTATTGATTAAGTCGATTTTTTACACGTATCGCGAATAAAAAAATATATAACATCAGTCAATTTATAGATCACTCACACGTATTTGTCGTGTTAAAATTTATTTGTTAAATTGTTTTTATTTATATATAAATACATAATTTCTATGCTTCAATCATATGTCAATAATGTTGTCGCATAATTCTATGCTATATATAATTAGTGTTAGATCTATTAATAATTTTAAAATAGCAAATTTTAGAACCGTGACAAATTTTAGAACTATAGTATTAAATCTTAAAAAAATCATGTTGTTTATTGATTTTATGCTCAATCATTGGACCCTTTGAATCTGTATTCAAAATGCACCTATCATAAAAATATAATATATACATTGAGACACATATTCAAATTTCGAATCGATCGATCGATTTTTTCATTTCGTTTCATGAGTTTAATAAGTAGTTCCCTATTTTAAATATATTTTTGCTTAGTAACAGGACGCTATTTTAGTCCTTCATATTTCCACTCGCTTTAAGATTGCCTTTAATCCATGGGAGAAAAATCTTAAAAATTTAATATCTTCTTAATAATGCTACATAGTCTGTTAATAAACATTCTACTGACTGGAAGCGTTTAATTGTAAAGCACAAATGACATGGTATAGACTCGTGTTCCACTTATAAACGCATTTACATCGTAATACAATAATCCGGCAGACCTTGGACTTAGCGTTTATTCACAGTACGATAGACAGAGTATAAGGAGCTTAGGTTAGGCTGAGAAGCCATTAAGACGAGGTCCTTCACAATACGAAATAGGACGAAGTTTAAATACTATACCATTTATATAACTTTAGCAAGAGCATTTGTCATTATATAATATTACTACTAATTAGTCATTCTTAACAAAACAAAACACAGAACAAAAAACCATTAGGTTTAATTAAGAGAGCAGTTAGTCACTGCCGTCTTTGTCCGGGGTGCTACTAAAAGCTTTAAAATGAACATATTTCGTTTCTTAGCTACTCATAATGAACTCGAATACGCATAATCCGCATTTCGTTAATGGATATTCCATTAATATGAATTAACTGAAAGTGTTGAGGATCTGATACCGATCCATTGCGAAGTAATTGCTTTGAGTAATTACGATTGAATTACATGAAATTATAATGCGTGTAAAAGTTTCGAATTAATTAATTCTTTGGCAACTAAACGTATAAATTCTACGAATGTAATCAAAATACCGCACATGGTATTTTGAGATGTATACATAGGATGGCCCAGAACTCAACGACAGGACAAAGCGAGGTAATAGTATTGAAATTGATGGTAACTATCATAAAAACTATCGATCGAACTATTATATAAAACTATCATGATAAAAATTAGAAAAGAAAAAATCTTACACAGTTTGAAATTTATGAGCTTTCATGTGCAATCTAGGGCTTTTGTGGAAATTTTACCTTTTTTCGGTTATTGTGGTTAAATTTTATCAACTTTATTTATTTCAGCTTTGGATCCTTAATTGTAAATAATATTAGACAAAAATTAGAAATGAAAAAATCTCACACAGAAATTTGTAAGCTTTTATATGCAACCTAGAGCTTTTATGAAAATTTTACCATTTTTTGGTCATTGTGGTTAAATTTTATTAATTTTGTTCATTTCAGCTTTCGATGCTTGATTGTAAGTAATATTTCTAATCCACAGTCAAAAATAATGGAACAAATGTCTTACGTTTTCAAGGATTAAGATTTTGTTGGAAAAGGTAAATTTGCAAAATTGGTCAAGTTTCAAAAAATCTCCTTATAAAAAAAAGTTTGTTGGCGAGCTCAATCAAAAAATGTCGCATTTAATCATGATTGTAAACTGGTAAAATTTTCAATTAAAAGTGTCAGCTCGACGTTGAGTTCTGGGATACTGTATATACGCTTGTAATCTAACAGTAATCGCTATCTTAATAATATGAAATGTAATCACGAAAACTATCATGACGAAAATTGGAAAAGAAACATCTCACACAGTGTGAAAATTATGAGCTTTTAGGTGTAACCTAGAGCTTTTATGAAAATTTTACCATTTTTCGGTTATTGTGGTTAAATTTTATTAATTTTATGCATTTGGGCTCTGGATCCGTGATCGTAAATAATATTTCTAAAACTACAATCAAAAATATTGCCATAAATGCCTTACGTTTTCAAGGATTAAGATTTTTTATTAATCATAAATTTAAAATTTCAAAATTGGTCAATTTTGAGAAGCTCTCCATAGTAAAGAAGTTTGTTGGCGAGATCCATCAAAAGTTGATGCATTTAATCAAGATTATTAACTGATAAAATACTCGATAATTATGATAAAAATTATAATTAAATTATATTATGAAAAAAAATGTGTAAAAAATAAAAAGTTTCTTGTTGTTGAGTTCTGGGATAACTGTATATACACTAATCATCTAACGGTGACCGCTATTAATAGATAATATGAAACATAATTAGACGCCTGCACTAATGTAGCGCCTGTCTTTACCTATTGTTTTACCAGGTTCACTAAAATATAATTTTTCAAAGTGATCGTAAAAACATTCGAAACAAAATAAATTTGGACAACTTGATATCATGCAGTAGTGAAATCAATTTTCACTTGAAAATATAGATCAAAAATGTGTTTGCAATGGAAAATAGCCTATTTCGGGCAATGCGGCGTGAAATGGCAATGAAAAATCTTTCATAGAACTCTTTCCTGTTTCTTTGAATCGAGTTGGAGTCTAACTCAGCTCACGGACTCGCCCTAAGGTAGAGCACCCAATTTTATTTCATATATATTGTTGTGCGCCACTGCTATAATTTAATAATAAAAATTAATAAATAGGTTGCACATGACTGAAATTATAAGTCTCATAAGTTCTGTAGTCATTAATTTAAACCCTGAGTGTTCCCTGCATGAACAAAACTTGAATGAGATAAATGTGATACGTCGTGCTCAGAATATTTCACAGTCCTCTTACGTATTCGGTAATATGTAATCCCATATACAAATATTAGGTACTTATTGAAAGTTCATTTATGGGGGTTTTGGTTACATACCCTTGAATGTCAGTGGGACCATTATAGTATTTTACTATCAATTTTATGGCTATACCGTACGCATAAAAAATTCAATAGCATTAGCATAGGCAGTATAAAAGGTTATGTCGTTCAAGTCTGAAAATATTTCGCTTCAGTTAACGTAGACAAAAGATAGCGGTTTACGTTTCGTTTATTTCGATATTTGAAATCAAAGTCAAGGGTAATGGCCAACGTATAGATAATATAAAGATATGTTTTTATTTCGAGAGGCATTATTTGCAGTGCGGATGCTTCTCTACATGTCTCGCAGATGTAATCATGACTTTTGTAATGTAATATAAGTGCTGAGAGAAAGTCATCGAATCTTATGATATTTTTTACCACATAGATTTAATTAATACATAGGGTAATATAAGAAATATATGCAGGCTTTTTAATGGTGCTAATTAAAATTGCAATGCTAAAAAAATAAAAGTGAAAAATTGCAAAAGGCAGGTTCAGCAATTAAAAGTTCCAACGAAAAACGTTAATTGACATTATTGAATCATTTACATAAAGAAATATTGATACCTA